ATCACTGTGTAGACTGGGGAAGCCAAGAACTTGACTCGGGGTTTTAGCAATGGGTTTCACTTGGTACATACTGATTTTAAGGTATGAGCAGACTTTTTGAGGGGAAATACCTAGCGAGCAGTTAGGTGTGGGCATTTCCTTCATTCCTACTTCTCTGCCAAGCACTGCGCTAGGCACACAAAGACAAATGAGCCATACAATCCCCAAACTTAATATGTATGCGGGATAACGGAAAAGATCGTACAAAGAACAACTCAGTGATAAAAACAAAGCCCATGGTATCCGCACAGTAACACCAAGGAGTAGCACAATGAGTGAGGGAAAGTTTCTGGGAGGAGGGAAGGCATATGCTAATATTTAAAAGAGCGGGAATCAGATAAAGTAGCGTGAGGGGAGAGAGGAAGAGAGAATCCAAGTTTACTGGAGAAAGGAAAGAGGAAAAGCATAAGCATTGTGGGAATCATAGCATACAGTTTAGGTTGTAAAGCCTAATACCTAAGGTGAGAAATCATGGGTAATGAAAACCAGGGCTCTGGTGGGGGGGAGGTGTGAGGTGGTGGTGGGGGGCTAGATATCCTTGATCTTCTAACACAGCAATGCTGAAGGAAGAACAAAGGGCTGGGAAGTGAGTTGGTTTCCTTTGTGAAGGAGACTAGACTTCCATCTTACAAGAAGCAAGCAGTTTCTCAAGAGTTTTACGCAGGAGAGTGATGTGGCAGTTTCAATCTTGGAAAGGGATCTGGGTTGCAGACAGAGAAATTGAATTTATTATAGGCTGGGGATAAAGCAAAGTTTCTGATCGTATCAGCTTGATGTCACACAGCTAATGCCACACAGCTTCACCGAGCCATGACCTAATGGTTTGTCTTCCAACTTTATAAATAACTTGTCTGTCTCCTCACTATGTTCCCATTCAAACACTGTTGTGGTGGTGTTTTTTTCTTTTTTTGCAAAATCATGATGAAAGTCCTCTTTCTTTTCACTGAATGGCCATGATACAGTTCTTATTTTATGAATTTTTCTTGTATCTGCCTCTTAGATAGATTTCAAACTTTCACCAAAAAAAAAAAAAAAAAAAAAAAATTACATAATCTAAAATATTTCCCCTTTTAGCTTTGTCTTTGTTCATTCATTAGAAATCTACTGACAAGGATCCATGCATCAGGAACCAGGGGAGGTGCTGCAGGGCATCAGGAGAGTAAACAAAGGCAAGAGTAGGAGTCAGCCCTTTCTGACACGGAAAATTCCGATACAACGAAAAAATTGATTTTTAAATTGTAAGTTTTGTAGTGTAATAATCCTTAGAATTGGCTAGAATCTGTTTACAACATCTGAGTTATTATATTTTGCCTAAAGCATTAAAATTTGATTAATTCATTTTGAAATTATTAAACAAAACTTTTCAAATTTATTTCTCTAAGTGATATCTTCCCTTAAATTTTACTTTCACTTTTTTTGATACAGTAGTCTGTTCCCTAAAATATCCCCCCAATTCTTCTCTCATTCTGTGTTGTTGTTCACTTGTTAGAGAGAGTATGATTAGGATATTAAACACCTATCTTATTATCTCCATTCTAAAAATCAGATTAGCATGGAAACTATTTTGATTTTTTGTAGTTTCACTTAATAATAGATTTAAAAAGGAAGCCCCCAATAATTTATATTCTAGTCATCAGGCCAAACTTCTAACATAGGGAATTAGATAATGTTAATTTTAAAAGATCAGAATAAGGGACGCCTGGGTGGCTCAGCTGGTTGGACGACTGCCTTCAGCTCAGGTCATGATCCCGGAGTCCCGGGATCGAGTCCCGCATCGGGCTCCCAGCTCCACGGAGAGTCTGCTTCTCTCTCTGACCTTCTCCTCGCTCATGCTCTCTCTCAAATAAATAAATAAAATCTTAAAAAAAAAAAAAAAGATCAGAATAAAATGAGAATAAGAAAATAAGATTTTCTGCCTGATAACAGTATATTTGTGATAACTCACTTCTTTCTCAACAATTTATCTTTTCCTAGATGTTACCACTCACTGGGAAGGCACATTACTCATAGAACTCTGTGATTTTTATCTTTTATAAAGAAGCTGATGGTTGTGGGGCACCTGGGTGGCACAGTGGGTTAAAGCCTCTGCCTTCGGCTCAGGTCTGATCCCAGGGTCCTGGGATCGAGCCCCGCATCGGGCTCTCTGCTCAGCAGGAAGCCTGCTTCTCCCTCTCTCTCTCTGCCTGCCTCTCTGCCTACTTGTGATCTCTGTCTGTCAAATAAATAAATAAAAGCTTAAAAAAAAAATTAAAACAAAAAAAAAAGCTGATGGTTGTAATTAAAATGTACATTAATTAGTGAATGGATTCTCCTTCTGATGTGTTTGAATCTTATCAATTTTCCTTAATTAGTCTCTTTTCTCTTGAGGGTGCAGAGAAATAGGATGAAATCTCATCTGTATTTATGAAAGAAATGAAAACAATTACCTTAACAGATTTTTTTTTTCTTTAAAATACTGGAAAGCAGCTAAGTATACTGGCAGAATTTTATTCTCTTTTCTTCAGATGGTCTTTCCTCATTTTTTTTCTTCTAATAAATACAGAAATCCATCTCTCCAGACATACACATGACACATATATTCCTAAAGATTTATTTTACATATGATTTATGTAAAATTTCAAAGAAATAATGCTAGAATGCCTACTGCCTGAAGTTGCTTATTTAGCTTAATGAATTTGAACTTTAGCAAGATACTAAGAGGAGTAAATTAACTGATTAACATCAGGCTAAGGAACGGATTTTGGAGTTACTTTTCCATCTAAATCATACGGTCACTCAATCAAACAAATTTGTGATTGGATATGTCTTTTGGAAGGACAGTCTTCTAACAGTGGGTAACAGTCATGATGGTCAAGAAAGAAGGTGGGGGGAATTTAATGAGTCCTTTTTTTTTTTTTTTAAATATTTTTATTTCTTTATTTGAGAGAGAACGTGAAAGCACAGAGGGAGAGGGAGAAGCAGACTTCCTGCTGAGCAAGGAGCCCGATGGATGTGGGGCTTGATCCCAGGACCCTGAGATCATGATCTGAGCTGAAGGCAGACACTTAACTGACTGAGCCAACCAGGTACTCCTAGTGAGTGCCTTTCGTTGAAGACCTGCACTGTGTTAACTTTGTCCTCATAAGAATCTTAAAATCGCATATAGCTAGCTTCCCTAGGAAGCTCCAGACCCACATCGCACCCTTATCTACCTTGCATTCTGACCAAGGAGGCTGGCCTGTACAGACTCTAATAAGCTCACTTCGCTCTACTTTTGGGCAGGGTTTAAGCAATGGTGAGTCCCTGCAGGACAGTGGCGGTGGGGCAAAGTCCAGGTTTCCTTTGGGTCCAGGCCCATAAGGGCATGTTGGTCTATGTAAGTCCCTCAGCTGAAGGCTCCAGCTCTTTTCGAAGCTGCTGAACTAGAAAGGGTTCTCCTACTGGGTTCTGAGAACAGTTTCTTGTCCTTGTCCTTGTCCTTTTGGCCCTGGGGATGCAGAATACTGCTCGTGCTACTAGATCCAGGTTACTACACTAGACCATGGTGCCCCTATAAACCACATCTTTTTCAACAATCTACTTGTGGGTGATAGAAATTATGTTTTTCATGGGCCACAGATTTCCTGTTGGGATTCTGCCTGGTACGGGAGACACAGCATGCTACTGTCTCTACCGATGATGCTTTATTGTATCTACTAATGAAGGTCAGAGAGGTCCTACAACATGGCTAAGGTCACCTAACTGGTCAGCCTGGACACAAACTGTCCAACCAAAGCAGGCTCTGTCCACCATACTCATGGCTGCCCGGCCGTGGAGAAAGAGATCTATAGATACACATATATGTCACAATATGTAACGTACATATGAATATGTATCCGAAGTACAGAAGATACATAAATGCATAATACATAAAACAGTATCACAAGAAAGTCACAGTTTTCATACTATCCCAAAGAAAACCAGACAGTTCATAAAATTTGCATCGAGAACAGTCTGCCAATAAGCCAACAATCAACTGCTGCAGGCACAGCGCGCTACAGATAACACTATATAAGCAATCTGGAGGCAGTCATTTTGACATGGCTTATAAAACAGGCCTGTGTTTTTTTTTCCATCTTCTCTTTCGAAGACTATATAAAAGTACAAAACGGATATACTCCATTCTTCCCTGAGGTTTTTCTGGCGATAGGACCGTGGGTGAGGAAGAAACAGACAGGGAAAGGGTTGGGAGTCAAGCGAGGGTGGGTGAAAATCAGGTCTACTGCACTCATTATTTATTGGGAGATGAAAAAATAATGCTATTATACTCTCATGCAGGTCTTATGATACAGCTGTGTCAAAAAATCCACATCAATATGTCTTGCATTGCCAGCCAATGTTACATGAAGTGCAAATCATCAACTTTTTAAAAAATATTTTATTTCTTTGAGAGAAAATGCACACGAGGTGGGGCAGGGGGCAGAGCGAGAGAGAGAAGTGCACTCCCCGCTGAGCAGGAAGTTCAATGTGGGAACCAATCCCAGGACCCTGAGATCATGACCTGAGCCAAAGGCAGCCGCTTAACCCACTGAGCCACCCAGGCGACCCATATCATCAACTTTTTTTCTCATTACTATTTTCTTCGTTCCCAGTTATAATACTTTTTAAATCCATAGACAACTAAAGACATATGTATATGTGTGCGTGTGTGTATATGTTACATCTATCTATAGGTGTATGTCTGTCTACACATACATACACATACATATATATATGCACACATAGATCGTTAAAGAGACAAAGTTTTTCTTCACTTCTAAGTTAACAGCCTTTAAATACCCCCTCTGTTTTTTACAGCTCATTAAAATAAAACAGAAACATTCAGATGATGAGAAACTACCTGTCTGGTACTTACTGGCAGCTAAAGCGACCAAATAATAATGTAGTCACTATCTCATTCATGGAGAAGACAGTAACATACAGATTTGAACCTTTACACTTACACAAAAAAGAATCGTGTGCAGACATGATCAGTATTTGGGACGACCCATATCTCTCCATGTTTGTGCAGGTCAGGTGAGGTGATGACTGTAAATGGAAGATAAAATTAAAGAATGATTTTATTCTAAGTTACTCTATCCCTCCTCTTAGAAATCTAAAAGCACAAAGTACATGCATAAACACACATGAAAAATGTTTAACCTTATAAGCTATCAAAAGTGTTAAGTAAATACAATGAAATGTCATGTGACAATTTTATGTTTTAAACACCATCAGTGTAACAACAGGAAGGGAATCACCTGTATAGTATCAAAAGCAAACAGTTCCTGACTTGGGGACTATGTAGAAAGCAACTTCGTGTCCTATATTAACTATCAAGGGTTGACTACGTAAAAGACAGTTAATGGTGCCTACTGAACTCCCAGCACCAGTTTTTTTTAGTCAAGGTTAGATTTTACGGCAAGAACAAGGAAAAGTATACGATCTAGCAAATCACCTATCGATCTGTCTACCGCAAGTTTAGAATAGAGGAATAATGTCAGTGTAGAAGCAGAAAGACCTATTGGGCTCTCCTCTTAGTGCTTGGTTCATCTTTCACATTTTTCACAGTATTATACATTCAAAAACCAACTTAAAGAGGAAGGCGGCATATTCACAAAAGAGATTAGCAATACTTGATCAGAAAAATATAATTACCATTCTGAGATACCTGCCAAGAATAAAATACAGCACTGTCTGAATTCTTGCCAATTCTGCTTTGTTTTTCACCTTTATGATCTCTATTGTACCTGTTTTCCATCTGTGCCCTTAGAGAAGGTCACAGGGAATAATGCAATGTTTTCACTAACCCATTTTGAGCATTCTGGAAATATAGTCGAATTCTTAAACACAGATAATATAGAGAATTAACACTATGAGGTTTGTGAAACTTTCAACTTACCTTCACATAAGGCTATGCATTTTAAGTTACGGCTTTGCAGGAATTGGGACTGCTGCCCTTTTTTCTGTGACTAAATTCCAAAAGAATTTAAAAATCAGAGTGAACATAGGGCAGTTGCTCAAGTGAGAAAAGAACTAATCATCATTAAAAAATAATAGCCACTAAGATAGCTTCAGATTTAAAAAAAAAAAAAAAAAGGCCTATGTAGACTAGCAGCAATATCCTTGAATTCTTTCTTAATGTCAAGTTATATTTGTTGTATCATTTAATTTCTGTACATAGTCATTATTAAATCAGTCTCAAGATAAGTGAACTAAAAATGCTCAATTAAAGTTTCACAGCCTCACATCATAGAATTAGAACTCAAATTTATTTTTACTGGAAGTCTGGCATCCTCATTTCAAGGGAAACAAAATTAAAATTGCATGGTCTTTTCAAACTCTACAATCAGTTATTCCAGATCATCTAACTTACTCAAAACCAGACCATTTTTTACAGCACCATTAACTAAGCTGCAGAAGTTTCAGGAAAATCTCATGGAGAATATCTGTAGTTTTGTTTGTTTTTAGATATTAAGTTAGCTGTAGTTCCCCCCACCCAATTCAAAATCACATTATTCATTAAGTAGATTTCTCACTTGTCCAGAATGGCTGGTTCCACTGAAATAACAAGGGATTTATGCTTGGTCTTTTCTCTGTCTGGAATGTTCTTTCTCCCATATGGCTCATGTACTCACTGTCCATAGGCCTCCACATAATCACCTGGGATGATTCGACATACAGTATTCTACAGCCCTTTTCCCTGACTTTTCTCCATTTTTCTCTACCATCTAGCATTCTTCCTCTCTAAACATACATTTAATTTATCCATAGCCACTCAATAGGATGTAGGCTCCCCGAGAAATTCCTCTTGTTTTTGGTTCGATTTTTGATTTGTCACTACAGTCCACTGCCTAGGAATCTCTCCCATTGTGATGGGAGCTTAATAAATACTTGCTGAACATTTACTGCATAAAGGTGTTTTGATTATCACATTTCAGGGTCAGTTTTATGGCTTTGTGGGTAATGGCCATTCAAGATAATTCTGCAGACTTAAGAAGCCCAAGTGCTTATGGAAGCCCTGCTGGCTAAGGAAGCGGGAGCTCACTCAGCACATCAGCCCCTCGAGCGGCTACAACACCTGTGATGCACTGCTGCTTTTACTGCTGGACGCCGGCTCGTCTTTGGTTGTCACCTTCTGCTTCTTGTTCATCCCTGAAAAACACCAGCAGAATTGTAACTGAGGGACAAAGCTGGGTGATACCTTAAAATACAATCCACTGGCATCGCAAAGTTCTACCGGAGGTGAAGACATTGCATCGGCCACAGATGACCACGCTGGGCTCCAGAAGGAGCAGCGGCTATGACCTGGAAAGTCAGTGGGTTTTGGGAGGTCCTGAGAGTGTGAAAATGCAGACAAGCCAGCTTGGTTTTCTTTGTACTGAAAACAGGGATAGGAAACTTGCACAAAACTGATATATTTAGAAAATTCTTAAAATTTGCTTTTACAGGGCTGGTAGAGCTTAAACTTTCATTTTACTATCTGGTTAGGAGAAGGAGAAGGTGAGGAGTGGGAAATGTGAACAAGGTCAGAAAAATACATTTACGCTGAAACTTAACTTCGTGAATTGTTGATCTGTATTTAATTCTGTGTAGAATTTACTGTATCATCTAAAAAAGGAAAAATTACACAAGTTCCTTTGTCTATGATACTCACAAGTTTTAGCTTACTCTGTTAATGCCATGACTTTTTACTGTGACAGATTTTAGACAAACAGAAGTAAGATTCATATCTGTTTTAGAAGAGATCAGTATTTTTCTATGCTTTATTTGGAAATGCCCATCTACTGTCCAGAAATTGAGAAGTAGGTTGATTTTCTGTTGTTGTTGCTGTTTCCATAAGGGTTCGATGAGAAAGAATAAACTGCAGACGGTATGAATATAACTCTTTCCAAGTCAGAAATATACTTCCAAAGTTGCAAAGGTCGAGAGGGTCAAGCTGAGAACAAGGCCTAGGGTTTCAGCCACGTGCTTCTGGGAGAAAGGTAAAGTCTGTTATCCTCAGCAGGACTGTGCTGCTCTCCACCCCCTACACTTGCAGCCTGAAAGCCAACTACGGAAAGCTACTTCACAGTATGTGATGACTTGGTATGTTTTTCCTTATCAATGCTGAGGATGTATTTTTTTTTTCTTTTAAGAGGTTTTATTTATTTATTTGACAGAGATCACAAGTAGGCAGAGAGACAGGCAGAGAAAGAGGAGGAAGCAGGCTCCTTGCTAAGCAGAGAGCCCGATGTAGGACTGGATCCCAGAACCCTGAGATCATGACCTGAGCTGAAGGGCAGAGGCTTAATCCACTGAGCCACCCAGGCGCCCCGAGGATGTATTTTCTTGAACTGGTTTTATTTTAGTTTTTTATTGTGTTACATTTTAATGAGATTCAGAAACTGATTTATGCTGATTTTAATTTGTTTTTTCCTTTGAATTGTATCATTCTGTTTCCTTTATTATCTTATTCTTCCTGGTGTTTCTCTTTTCTTTCTTTCTTTTTTTAAAAGATTTTATTTATTTATTTGTCGGAGAGAGAGAAAGAGCACAAGCAGGGAAAAGGGCAGGCAGAGGGAGAAGCAGGCTCCTGGCAGAGCAAGGAGCCCAATGCCAGACTCAATCCCAAGATCCTAGGATCATGACCTGAGCCAAAGGCAGACGCTTAACTGAGTCACCCAGGCATCCCCCGGTGTTTATTTCCTGTGTTATTTTGGCATATTGTTTTTTCAAAGATTGTTGCAACAATATTTCTTAAGCCATAGGCTCTTCTACAATGGGATTTTGTCACTCTTTCCTTCGGGAATGAAGCCTAATTCCCCAACCCTCAAAGATGCAGGGGTTTGTGACTGCTCTGACCTATGACATATGTGGGAAGTGCTACTATGTGACTTCTGAAGCTGGGTCAAAAAAGGCCTACAAAGTCCACCTGGTGTTCCTAGGACATGCGTTCTGGAAAAGTTTGGGGTAGAACCCTGAGAAACAACTTGCTGTGGTTGAAAGAGCATGAACTTAGGCAGAATTATACTGGCCTGGTTAATGTTTACCTGGTGATTTGAACTCTCAAGATATCCTTTTGTATAACAGAGCATCTTAAGACTTACTAAGCAGGCACCACCACCAACTTCAGGAGACTATGTAATATAACCATACAATCGCACATACACATGAGCACATAAGCAAAACCAACTATATATGCAGATGTATGAATACAAAAACTTTACAGGTCTGAAGAGAAATACAGAGAACACTAAGTCTGGGGGAAAGGAGAAAAAAATTCCATTCGTTACCTTACACAGGTCTATGCAGTTTCAATTTCTTTTTTTTTTTCCTTCAACTTTGTATAGTGAGCATAATTACTTTATGTTTAAATACATTAAGTTATTGATCTAAAAAAATTATCACACTGATTATGGAAACATATTTCCACAAATTTAAAAGTGTAAAGAAATCAGCCGAATTGTACCACCTGAGGATAAAGAATGCTAATAATTCCGTGATCTTTCTTTCCATATTTTGCATTTACCAGGCTCCTCTCAAGCACATGCTTTCAATTTTTTCCAAAATAATTTTTTCATACAATATCACCCAACAAAAAGATGTCAATAAGTAGGATAATTTTGAGGGTATTTTTCTAATCTTAAATTCCCCACACTGTTCAAAATATCTTTATACAATATACAATAAAAAAAGAGAAGAGGTTGGCATGGTGCAGAGTTACAACCCAGGACAGTGAATTACTATAGATGAGTAGTCTGTGTTCTACAGAATGCTTTGCACATACCACATTCTCAATAGTTACTTGTGGAGGGAATGAAGGTAGAAACCACTGAACAAAATGGAAATTAATTCTGACATTGAAAAAAATCACATATTCCGCTTTACATATTAGGGTAAGTATTCTAAATTCACCCTGACATGTGAGCTTTGTTTCTGCTTCTGATATGAATCAAATGAATTAAATGCAAATGTATCAAATAAGCTTCAGTTACTTGATACACATTAAGAAAATTCAAAACCTCACACACTTGAGGTTAGAAATGAAACAGGAGCTTACCTGAGTAACCAAAAGATATGCTTGACATTGGGCTAAGATAGATTCCACTCCCATACATTGCACCGTGGAGCTAAAAGGGGAAGAAAGGGGACAGAAAGTGGACAGTCAATGGTTTCAAAGGGGAATATTTTACAAAAGAAAGGAATCAGTCTCATGTTGGGAGGATTAACTCTCAGAAAACAATAAAGCTCTTTCCTAAGATCTAATGTGAAAACAGTACTACTAATATCCTTGTCTTCAACATTCAGTGAGTTGATAGATGAAAAGTGATAGCCAGAGAAAATATCCTTGATAAAGGTTTTCTACCCGACCCATGACAAAGACAGTCAATTATCATGTACTAGCATAGGTTTTTATGTTAATGACTCCAAAATATCAAAAACAAAACAGGCTGAATATACACAACAGAGCTTTGATTAGGACACACATGCTAGTTCATCAACAAAGTAGCCTATTCAGAGTTTCACTGTACAACACTGTCATCCCATTCTTACCTCCTCTAAACTTTCAGGTTAACAGTTTCATTAGCGGAAACTCTTCGACTGATCTAAGAAACTACTCAGAACAATTTAAACTCTCTCTCATCACTTCCACGTTCTAGGGCCCCTGGACCTTATTTAGCATGGACTTAATACTAATTCAGTAAGTGTGTGTTTATGGACATTTACATTTAACTGTATCATTTCAACTGTCATCGGCGTGTGGGATCCAGCACAGGTGACAGGATTAAGCATCTCATTTTCTGACCTCTGTCCATCATCAGATGAAAATCAGCTGAATGAGAGTGAAGTGGGGTGTTGAAGGCAACGGGCGTAAATAAAGATGAGCGCTATATCCACGATACCCCATGAGGGATACCCCATGAGGGATATCCATGATATCCCGCTGACTCCCAGCACTGCCCCGGAGACCATGAAGCAGGCAGCAGATGGCTCTTTGGTGTCCAATCTCCCTCTTGCTGATTCTTAGCCCTACCTTACCTCCTCTTAAAGTACCCCACTCTGGGGCAGTGCTCAAGAAATCTGCGTTGAATTAGCAGACAGAATGTTTGCACGGTTTTACTTTCTGCATGATAATTTTCTTCTACTGAAATTCAAAGTGATTTTATTGTTTTCTCATAGGGAATTCAATTTCTTTTCCTCTTCATCCCCGGATGGTGTGTTGGTCAATTCTGCTTCAGTTATTTTATGAACATTACTTCTGCCTTTTAGAAATTCTATGTAATTTTTAAAGCCCACTGGCTTCCCCTTTCTCACGTAATAAAAAAGCACCAGGATTGCTTACTGAATTCTAACACTAAAGAATATATGGTCTTGTTAAAGCATTCAGAAAATTTACCTGCAGTCTAGTATTAGAAGCAACAACCAGACCATTCCTCAGGATAGAGTGCCAGTTTTCAATGTGTGAGCCACTAAAACACAGAGGAGGGGAAGGACAAAATAAAACAAAACATTAATAATCTTCGAAAGTGGCCACAATATGATCAGTCATGTACCTTCTCGAAATCTTGAATTTCCAAGTCAAGTATCAGGCAGTGGACTACTCAGGGCTAATAGCCAAGTACTAAAAGAATGTTTTCCTCCCCATACATTTCTGGAAGACTGGGGTAGAGACATACCCCCATCAACAGGAAGCCATACTCACTGAAAAGCAAAGGTGCTTCCAAAGAGTTTTTTAGCAGCTCTAAAATTAGATTCTTTGGCTGGTGGACTGCTGAGAAGAAGGAACTGATGTGGAGTATGCATAAACTTCAGTTGCTGCCGTTTAAAATAATGACAAATGAAAATATGTCAAAATTAACATATAACCAGACTGATGACAGTTTCAAATTTTACTGGTTTAAGAATTAATTGAGATTCAAGCCATACTAACTTACATTAGCAGGACCATTCATTTAAAAAAAAAAAAAAAAAACCCTGCTTAAATGATCTATCATATGGAGTTGCTGATATGAAGGGTAATTTTTTAGGCTAATGGAAAAGGAACAGGACACAGACAATCCAAAGTCATTTATATTTATCTTTGGAATACACTCTGTAATCATGTCCAAGCAGATCTGCCTTCCTCATTATGTTTCTTTTTAAGACTTTTATTATTGAATTCCCTAAGTATACACTAGCTATTCAACTGGGGAAATATCTGAGTTGGCTAAGCAGAAAAGAAAAGTTAGTTCAAGATTTTAAAATTGCAAAAACTATCATCATCACGCTTTATTTGCATACATTTATAAAACTGTAAATTGCCTACATTCACGCATAGTTCCCCCTTTGTTCATGGAAAGAAATTAAAACAGAATCTTTTGAATTAGTGGCCTGACAAAATTTTCTAATTGCTGCCCTTTCACTTAGGAAAATACTTATATAGGAGTACAATATAAAGGAAATCTCGCGGCTTAGAGATTCACAGACAAGCGAGCTGAGATTTTGGATACGGCTCTTCTTTGGTTTCAATCATAATTGAAATCAGAGCCCATTAGCTTTTTCCTTTATTTTCTAAGTGTATTAAGCCGATAAGGCAGTATCTTCTCCTCTGTGGAAAAGAGGGGCTGTGCCGACAAGAAACTGACAATGATAAAAAGCACATTACCTTTTTTCTGGTCAAACTCCTGATTCTTCCTATCACTGGTGGAATATCTAAACAATTTCATACTGACCCTTTTACTTACTTAAAAGTTCAGGGCAGCAGCCTGAATGTGAATTTGATTTCTTGGGACAACTTGGAGCTGGTGAACATATGGTAATTTCAAACTGAAGAATTAGGCCTAACCTGGGATTACTTCAATTTCCTGGAGAGGCTGCCTAAAAAATCACAGGGGTCACTTCTCCCAACCAGTCAGGACTCTTCCCATTTCTGTATGTATATGTTAAAAAACAACTTACCCTGTTAACTGGCAGTTTCACAATATGTGACCTATTACTTGAAATAACCCTGAAATTAATTAAAATAGTCCATCAGTCACAAATATATGCCAAATATACTTAATGTTTTTTTCCCTTAGTTGGCAAGTGATCGGACCTTACGTTTGCCGTGACATTAACTAAACTGAGTAACCATTTTACTTAATTACATCCCTTTGCTTTGGTTCCTGAAATAATTTAAAGAGCTTATGTAACAAAGAAGACAATATTTTAATCTGAGAAGGAAGAAGTAGTCCCTTAAAACCTAACAGATAATGATTTTTAATCATTACGACCTCAGATATCGGCAAATAAACATTTCTAAACATACTTTCAAAGGATGATCGTCGAGATGCAAAGCTTAGATACATCAGCTTGCTTGGCTCTTCCCTACACTGTCTCATTAAGAACGAGTTCCTGTGAAGATCTTTTTCTTTCTTTATATATTTGAAGATCTTTGTGCTGATATATATGGTGATATATACACAAACTGTTATTCACCATATTTAGACACTGAGGTTGAAAAAATTACATTGTTTTCTGAAAGAATTAGTTATTTTTATGTTTTTCAGAACAGAAAATAATAACTAGGGAAAACTCTAACAAAACAGTTTTGTAGATTTTCTTCTCCTTGAAAAAGTGACTAACAAGCTGAAGGAAATGATCACAAATAATTAAAGTTAACAACGAGGCTGACTACAGGGGCAGGAAAAAAAAAGAGATTATATATTTGAGATTTTTACCTTCATTCTGAATATGATTTCATGTGAGAATGTAAAAAATTACAATGAAAACTCTGTTATTCTATTCAAACAGAATTTTAATAATAGATCATTATGGATACAAAGAAGGAAGACTTCCAAATCTAATTTTTTAAAGTTTTATTAGACTAAATGTTTATTGTAAAATCCTAAATGAAAGTTAAGTAACCAGAATCATTCTTTCTCCTTTGCCCATCTTTCCATAATTTTTAAAAACTTCCTAGTTGTAGCATAGAATAAATCTCATTCAGACCAATCACTTATAATCTTTACACTTGTATAAATGTATAATCGTGGTGAATTTCACAGTCTTTACGTTTTCAGTGACTTCAAAGACGTATGTGCATAAAACCCTCAGAGGTAAGGGGAGTAGGCACTATTGTTTTCATTTTGCAAGTTAGAAACCAGAGGGCAAAGGCTTTGAAGCAGGTGTGGTAGGAGAGGCCTTCTCAACCCGCTCTCCCGTTCTCAACTAGCCTTCCTTGGATCCATGCTGACTATGCCCCTCACCAGGCTCACTCCGAACACATCTGCAGTCGCCAAACAAAGATTTCATCAAATTTATACTGTTCTTGTTAAGGAAGTGAACCATACACAACATACATTTTAGAAAGATTTTTCAATAAGTGTTTGAAACTGAGTTTTGTTGCTGAGTCCTCAGTTAACTAGAAAATTAAATGAACCAAAACAGCTTCACCATATAATCCGGCTAATCACATTTTTTTTTTTAAATGATAGACAAACGGCTGTCAAATACATTGTTTATCTGCGTAGCGCATAGGACAGCATTTTCTTCCCCTTGTGATATACAAGTTTTAATTAAAGTGCGAGTCATTAAAGACTCTGTAAAATCACCAGGCCTCATAGGCTTGTAGAACTGTAGCATTGCAGGTCTTGTAAAATAGGCTTTTTTTTTCCCCTTAAAGCAGGCAGTAGAAAATGATGCTGTTTTCATTAAGAGGAAAACTAAAATTTTATACCATTGCAGTAGGGGATGAGCAAGGGGGTCTTGTTTATCCATCTGCTTCTTGATTTCCAGATATGGTGCCTGGAAAAAAAGTCATTATACTTCTTGATTTTTCTTAAAAATTCCTTTTTTTCCTTTCTCATTTTTCCTTTATGCAAAAGGAAAATCAGGTTGAACAGGTATGTCTAATCTAGTTAAACCCAGAAGCTTTGTGGCTGTGACTACCCTCGTGTTCTCCCCCAACCCCGCCAAGGTGATGTGAACTCTGAACTTCATGTGGCACAATGGACTTGCCCAGACATGTAGCTCCAAGAGGCTTAATCCAGCTTTCGTCTGGATCCCACGCCCTAGGCCACGTCTAAAGGTGATCCCAGGCCCCCAGCCGAGTTTCTGCTCTAGCAAAAGCATGTGCCCAACAACAAAAGTTACCTCCCTTGTACCCACCCACACTGCTAACCTTCCGAATTCTCTACTCATCCCTCTTCTGTAATTTTCTGCTTCCCCACTGCCCCTTATTTTTACTTCTCTGTAGCCCCCTTCTGTTCCGTCTCTGCTCTCCCTTTAAAAACCTCTATCACTTTTGTCTTCCTTGGAGGTGACCTCACTTACTCTCCCCCAGGGCAGTCCTTCAATTAAATCTCTCTCCCCACCTTTAGCAAGTGTTAGGCGCTGTCTCTGAGATGACGGTTTTTAACTTTGAACTAACATTAAAGCAAAACTTGTGAGAGCTACTACTCCCGCTCATATCTGAAGGTACTGACTTAGGTGCAGAGCTTTACGTGAGAAAACTGGATGAAATTTACATAAGAAGAGCCCCCCCTCTTTTTTTTCAAAATACTTAGTGGAATTTACCCAGACAATTAACTTTTTCATAAAACAAAAGGCGATCTGTCTGTAACAATTTACCACTATCCACAGGGCAGTACCTTCTAGAAAATAGGACAGTATAATGTTATATTTATTTGGAGAGGTGTAAAGGATTTGATGCAATAGAACCTGACAGCATCCCTATGGAGTGCAGACTGGAAGGAGGTGCAGTGTTACTATTTACCACCTTAATAGTGAAGAAGCTAAGCGTCAAGCAATTAAGCAACTTGCCCAAGGTCACAGGGCGCATCATTGATGAGCAAATTATACAACACCCGCCTCTGACTTCCTAGGCTGACACTCAATTGTCTGCACTGCCTTCTATTAAAATAGCTTACATATGACCCAGAATAAAGGAAGAAAATTTTGGCAGAGAGCTGATCCCAGAGTCAGAATTTCGTAGGTATTTTTATCGGAGAATGATCTGGGTCTAGGGTATAGTATAATAAACACCCTAGTACCACCGAAGTCTTTGGTGACTAAAAAATCTTTATTTAACTTTGTGTAAGCCAACGGAATAGGTTCATTTTACCCCCAAGTGGAACTGTATTTCATTGTTTTCTCTTCCTTATACAAATAATAATATTTGTTTGAAAAGGAATTCAGGTAATACAGAAAAGTATGGGCATAGAAAAACAACGAGCCAGGATGATGGTTTTTAAGCAAATGATCTAACTTGTAAATTAAGGATCTCTTTGTTTACCATTGTCTGACACAAACTATTTGTCGGACAAATGGATGAATATTTGACTACCTGAATAAATAACTATCCAAAGACTCAAAACTCAAATTCGGAAATGTAAAAATGTACTCTGGGAGCACATTTCAAATACAGCAGTGGCGATGGCAGGGGTGAAGGGAGGAGTGGCAGTGAAGTTTTGCGGGCCTCAAGAGTGAAGGAGTCCAATACTCTCTCCCCAAAGACAGAAATGACCCAGGGTACTACTATAAGCCTCCAGGGTCTGTAGCGTAGTGCAAGCCTTGAAACCGCCATATGCAAACCAAACCCATAATGTGTGTTGTTGTCAATTACAGATTATTAATTTCTACTTATCATTGATGAGTTTTAAGCCTCTCTCCAAATTCTTGACAATGGAAAAGCCTCAAAAATTCAGTAGCATGTGCTTTTCGAAGAGCTGGACTATAGCCCAGTGGTATGTTAGACTTTCATAATAAACCGCCATCCGTGCTCAGCAAACATCACCAAGCCTCCCCAAATGGCTAAAAATAGAAACTCATACTCTCGGGGAGGCTTGTGTCCTCCAAAGTTGTTTTGAGATTCTATGTTGTTTAAAATATTTATGCACAATTTATATTTGATAGAATATCTGTTTTTATTTTGACATTAAAATAATGTGTTCATTAAAATAATGAACAGTCTAGGAAGATGGTACCAGATTTAACCTTTGCTTTAAGATAGTCCAACATACCTCCATATACTCCAACTGTCGCAGAGAACATTAGGAATATAATCATGCAATTACCTTCCAAAAGTCACAGTGATAGCCCACCAATACAACGATGTAATTTAATTAAAACCTCCTAGTACAACACACTTTTAATTTTTAAAGTTCTTTAATTATACTCCCATCTAATAGAAAAATCTACATTTCACTACACAGCGAGTACTCTCAGACATTTTTAAAATATGATTTTACTCAAGCAAAACTAAACTGTACAAGACCACAAGATGATATACTTACTTGTGTCATTTCTCTAATGGAAGTTATGCTATCCAGTGCTTTCATTACTCGATCATAGTTCTTCTTCTGTTTGAGTGGGGAAAAAAAATAGTATTCACTATAAGCCTTTGCAATCTACATGTTACTAGAGAAACACATTATTTCTGTACGTGGATTTCCCTTCAGAGTCGATTTGAAAGACTGTTGTGTACAAAAAAGGAAAGGCTTTAATAAGATGATTCTAGGATGCAGGATACATAACTGAGTTAGAAGGAAGAAAGAAGAAAACAATCCCAATCCTAATATAAGTACATAAAATCATGTTTAGCCTACAGGGGGAAAACTATAAATATAAACAAGATATTGGGCTCTTGATTCTTTGTCTCACCAAAAAAATTAAGCCATGATGAATAAAGTAAAAACAGAATCCTTCTAAAATATAAAAATCCACTTTGAGTCTCATAATATCATTTTGCTTTTATTTTCTTTTGATTGAAAGGTTGTTACCAAAAGAATATGACTAGTAAGTGTATAAATGAATGACATCACACACTTAACTGATAATTCATCTTTAAGTATACTCTGTGTACTCTTGCCACTTATGACAGAAGGAAAGCTTTTCCAAGGACATTTTATATAGCCATTGTTTCCACAGAATGATTTCAAGATGGATAGTAATAGAAACTAAGGCAATTTTAGCTTTCATGTAATTTGAGAATTCTGCTATTTCAGAAGGATTCTGCCTCATCTCCACAAATATTTATAAAATTGTTTTCTCAAGAAATGCCAGTTGATCAACAATATGGACTAAACTTTCACTAACCTTCAGGTAACTGGGGAGGAAGGGGAGTGGGGAGAAGGCAAGGGATGATTAAGTAAAAATACAAAAGAAAGCAAAAATCGGTCCTTTTACCCACAACCCTTAAAAATTACAGTGAGGTTACATAACGCTAGACTCTCAAAAATATTTAATGAAGTTATTACTGCTATTTTCCTTCCTTTCACGCAAATGGGACGTGTAAAGATTGCAATTTGAGAGGATGAAATGGGTGTAGCTTCATAAAGATGAAGTTCTGAAAGTGATTTTAAAAGATGAAAGGACAAGGGAAGTAACAGGATATGGGAAAGACTGGAGGAAGCAGTAAATCAAGTTTGTGGGAAAGGAACTGTATTTATTAAATGGATAGGGTCCACAACGGGTTAGGGGTCGACCTGATGAGGGAGGGGGTTAGACAGAAAGGGGGAAACTAGCAGGACTAAAACCTCAGCTGCTGTTACGGGGGGCAGGACGGGTCTATGAGGAGCAGTACTCACTCTGGGGTTGAAGGCCAGCATCTGAGGATCGTTAGGATCCACCACAGAAGGATATGGCTCGAAAATGACAACTTTTCTAGGAGATTCCAATGCAGACCTACACATGGATACCAGCAGATCTACCACCTTGAAACACACACATGAGACAGTTAGCATCCTTTGAGATTCAGCTCGTGCTTTGCCATTGCTCCTCCCTCTCGTGGTCACCTAAGTCTCAAAACTGCTATCAGCTTCTCAGATCTGTAATTTACGGCTTCAGACCACAGTTGACCAAACTTGACCATTAACTCGAAATAACTAACATGTGTTGCTTCCAGTTACGTCCTCGGATCTCTTTGTCATGAACTCCTACAGTGCTCTCACACTGCTCTAGGCTCTATAGCAGACATGCACAAGAAAGACAGGTCCTCTCTCTCAATGGATTTACATTCTAATGGAGAAGATGCATAACAAAATAATCAGTTAAACATATGCTCAAATACATTTCTGTTAGTGTTGAATGCTGTGAAGAGTAAGCAGGCAGTAGAGACTAAGGCAATAGGGGGTTTCAGAGTGCCTAGGATAGTGGTGATATTTCAACAGAGACCAGAGTGAAGAAAGAAAGGGAGATAGAGCTCTGGGAGAAACTATTCCAGGTGATGGAAACTGCAAATTCAGAAGATGAGTCTGACGCACTCCAAGAACAGTAAAACTCCTGACATCATCTTACTTCTTCCTGCTCTGTACCTCAGAGACCTTCTCTGCCATTCATGACCTTTGGTACCCTAAATAAGATGGTTTTATTCTGTGTTCTTCTGTGACCTCTTAACACAATTTACTAAGAGGCAGTGCCATTTAACAGGAGTAGAGCCCCCTCTCCAGTTCCCAAAATATGCTTCTGGCAAGTCAACTGAGAAAACAGACACTGTCTAAATGGAGAGAGGGCACATGGACAGACACAACAACAGTGTGAAGATAGAGGACATCATAAAGAAAGGTATGGACTTAATCTTTATAGAGAAAAATATTTCTAGAAAGTTTTTAGACAGGCATTTAAAAAGAGTAGAGTAAGAGTAAAATAATTTTTGATTCTTGTGGTTCATGGGAGGGGCACTGTGACCTAATGGCTATAGGGCTCACTATGTTGTATATATACTCACAAAACACATCCATCCAATCACAGCATCCAGAATTTCCAGTGACCTAAAATAATCAGCAAAACTCAAGCCATCGGGTATATGATCTATAAGGAACCCTTCCCAAAGTACACAGACATACATCCCAAAAGACTTGCTCAGAAAATGGTAGAACTGAAAGAGCCAATATGTTTCCAACACATTATTCCACTTATATGTGTGTGTCTGTATATATATGGTTTCAGCAATAGAAAGAATAAAGACATAATAAAATCCTTTTTGTCTTCTGAATCCACAGTCACACTCCTTCTACCCCAGAGAGATGCACTTAAACCTAGACACAAATTGTTTTTGGCATTATCTGGTCTCTCAATAAAGAAAGATCCAAATTAAAAACATCTGAAAAAGAATAATCGGTAAAATAAAACAGCCCTTTCTAACATACCGGCAGTTGGGAGGGAATTGGTACTATCCTATAAAAATTTTTAAGAATTACAAGTCACAGTATGCAACTGAAGTGTTTAAAAAGTGCATGCCCTTTGCTTTAATAAAGGGTCAAATGATCTTTCACAAGGGTACCAAAACCACCCAATGGAAAAGAACAGTTTTTTTCTACAAATGACAGTGGCAAAACTGGATATCAATATGAAAAAAAATGAAGTTTTATCTTATACCATACACAAAAATTAACTCCAAATGCAATAAAGACCTAAACATAAGACCTTAAACTACAAAATTCCTATAAGAAAACATGAGGAAAAACTTCATGACATTGGACTTGGCAATGATTTCTTGGCTTGACACCAAAGCACAAACAATAAAAGCTAAAATAGACAAATGGGACTACCTCAAACTTAAAAACTTTGGTGCATCGAAGGACACAATAAACAGAGTGAAATGGCATGGGATGGGAGAAAATATCTGTGAATCAGGTATCTGAAAGGGGGTTAATATCCAGAATATATAAGGAGTTCCTACAACTCAACAAGAAATCAAATAATTTGATTTAAAAATGGGCAAAAAACTCAGAGAGACAATTCATTAAAGAAGACATCCAGATAGCCAACAGCACATGAGAAGATGCTCAACATTATTAAACATCAGAGAAATCAAAATCAAAACCATAAAGAGATATCACCTCATAACCATTAGGATGGCTACTATCAAAAACCAAAAACAAAAACCAAAACCAGAAAATAACAAGTGCTGAACCCATGAAGAAACTGGAGATTTTGTGCACTGCTGATGGGATTATAAATTGCAGCAGCTGCTACAGAAAACAGTACAGAAGCCCCTCAAGAAGTTAATAATACAATTTCCATATGATGCTGCCAGAAGTGACAATCCCACTTTTGGATACATATCCAAAATAATTCAAAGAAGGATGTTAAAGACCTATTTGCTTATCCATGTTCACAGCAGCATCATTCACAAGAGCCAAGAGATGGAGACAACCAAAATGTCCACTGACAGTTGAATGGGTAAAGAAAATATGGCATATACATACAGGAAAAATTATTCAGCCTAAAAAAGGAAAATCCTGTTATAGGCTACAACATCAATGAACCTTGAGGACATTATGCTAAGTGAAATAAACCAGTATAAAATAAACCACAAAAAGACAAACACTGTCAGATTTCACCTATGAAGTATTTAAAGTAGTCAAATTCATAGAAACAAAAAGTAGAATGGTGATTACCAGGCAGGAGGAAGGGGGCTATATAAGGGGAGTTGTTTAATGGGTACAGAGTTTCGTTCTGCAGGATAAAAAAGTTATGGAAATCTGTTTCATGACAAGTTGAAGACACTTAACTGCTAAACTGTATGCTTAAAAAATGGTTAAGATAATCAATTTTAGGTTACGTGTTTTTTTTTTTTAATCTCAAGAGTAATGATACAAACAGAACAGTAATAACCTGAGCAATGTATACCTTTCAATCAAATATTAAACACCCTGTCCCAGAAGCATCAAACTACCAAAAATTATATGCATTCTTCTGCCAATAATTTCACGTTGGGAGTCCTTAATGAAATAGTGGATATAGGGGGTAGGAAATTTAATTAGAATATTCCTGCTAATATATGTTCTAAGACAACTTGAAAGAAATAGCATAACTACCGTAGCAGAATCTCATGCTGTCCACCAAAGCCTTCTACTCCTTGCTTCCCAGGTACAGAGCTCTTGACAGGAGGCAGCTGCTTGGCATGCAACATTTCCACCCCTTTTGTCTACATAAGGCTACGTGACTAGTTTTAACCAATGGAATTGGATCAACAGTGGAGAAGGGTAGAATGGGTGCACCTTCTCCACTTTTATCTCTGCCTCTACTGTATGCCATGTACTTAAAGACAGCAGAGCCACACAAAGGAAAGGGTTCAGTTAACTCAATCATCACACAGAAAGCTGCCCAACAAGTATTCTAACTGGATAGTTGTGGGAGGAAGAAATAAAAAAGTCCATCATTAAGCCACTATAATTTTATGCTTTATCTGTTACAAAGTTAGCAGTTAGAATTTTTGAACAAGAAAAGGTCTGTATTACACTGTTTGGATTTATATTCATTTGCATGTTAATTTTTCCATGGAGTAAAATGTCTACTTTAAAAAATGAAACATAACAAACGACTATAATTTATTTATTCCAAATCATGTATTTCCCCACTCCCAGCATTTAAAATGATTTTGTTTTTGTTTTTATGTAGGCACCCACGCCCAGAACGGAGCCCAACATGGGGCTTGAACTCAGGACCCTGAGATCAAGACCTAAGCTGCGATCAGGAGTTGGATGCTTAACTGAATTAGCCACCTAAGCACCCCCAAATTTGAAAGATTCTTAATGGGCTCCTAGCACATAATGGTGAATGCTATAGTCAGCAAGTTACAGACATCTTTCTTCTTACACTGAATAATATAATTGAAGGGACAATCCAGACGCTAAGATACTTAGGATAGAGAAATACAGAATTCAAACAATGGGAATTAGGCCATTTGATGAGTGAGAAAAGGTCTGTGGGTTTATAGAATCACATGCTTCCAAAGGCTATTGTATACAACCCATCTGATAGAGCAAGACTCTCCACCCTTCCCTGAAGGTAAGGAAGACCTTAGAGCGCTTGCAGATGAGAAAGTTCAAGTCCAGAAGAGTAAGAAAGGAGTAGCCTACAGATACATAATGTATTCTGGAAAAGAAATGAATTTAAAATCGAAGATCAATGGCTTTCAAACATTTCAATATTGATACCGTTTTTTTTTTTTTTAATAAAATCTTGTAAGAGAGCTAAACATAAAGAAATAAAATGGAGCTATTTTTGGTTGAAACAGTATATGGGGGCTTCGAATCTTGTCTCCTGCCATGTCTCTCTAAGGGATGTTCTTGCAAACTCAAGAGAACCACTGAAAATACAGGAGTCAACTGATGCATTAGGACTACTGAGATATAGTTTCTTTCTTTCTAGAAAGGGAATCAGGGGGTGCCTGGATGGCTCAGTGGGTTAAAGCCTCTGCCTTCAGCTCAGGTCACGACCCCAGGGTCCTGGGATTGAGCCCCACACCAGGCTCTCTGCTCACTGGGGAGTCTGCTTTCTCCTCTCTCTCTCTCTGTCTGCCTCTCTGCCTACTTGTGATCTCTGTCAAATTAAAATTTTTAAAAAAAATTTTTTAAAGAAAGAGAATCAGTTTCTATGTAATCTTTAGAATTACAACCAGAATATTGTGTACTTGCTTTCAAGTAGTAAAAAGAATATTCCACTTCAGAGTAGAATCATGAAATTGATATGATCGAGTAATTGTGTTTTGTAACTATCATTACAAAATCCAAAATAAAGTTCTCTTTAAGAACCATAATTTTTTGAGGTAGCTATAATAAGAGGGGGGGAAAAGCACCTAATAGTCTATCAACCTAGCCTACGGTGGCAGGATGCTAATTTTCCTTCTAATTAATTATTTCTTCATTCCAGGTTCTAATTCCTTCCCTTCTCACATCGTCTGAGGGACAATTTACACTAAAATGTA